TATTTTTTTTTTTCAACTATTCTAGTTCCGCGTCGCGGTTTAAAAATCTAGTTTTTCTTTTAATATAAGAGGATATATATAGTATATTTTTAAGAAAATAAATATCTAACAAAATCAAGCCATTCATATCTTTAATTGATTTGATACGATCGAGGTTTGTTCATTTACGTACACGTATGGATCCTTTTCGGATTTGTTTACCTTTTTATGCCAACTGTTAATTTTCCCATTCAAGCTGTTACAATTTTTTTTTTTTTTTGGGTCGACAAAACTGTTACAATTCAAGAATCAAATAAACCCAATGATTTAGTGGTTCAATAATCAAGGAAATTTTATTTGCTTATAACCGAATATAAAATTATATATTCTTTTATTGTGTTTTAAGTATCTCAAAATTTGCAGGATTTGTGATCGCCCGATGAATAATCCAGAGGAAATACCTAGCAGGCTTGAGGTCAGTATATGAATCAATAATTCATGTAATCGACATTATATATTAATTCTTATGTATATATAGTGTATATACAACTTATGAAATTAAATTGATGATTAGATTTTGGTGATGAACAGGGCAAGAATGTAGCACGACTTGTGTGTTGTATTTTGGGAGTAGGGTCTCTCGTGGCATGGAATGCGATGCTGACCATCACCGATTACTATTATCAAGTTTTCCCTGTATGACTAAGCAATTTTCCAGTGTCAATACAACAAAAATCGATTCGATTGATATATGTATCCGTCTAATTCGATTTTGTTTTGTGTTGTTTAACAACAGAAATATCATCCTTCGAGGGTGCTTACACTAGTTTACCAATTGGTTGCGAATGTGTTGATATCAACACTTGCTTATAAAGAAGCTAAGCTCAAAACCCGATTTCGTAACATTTTAGGGTACAGCCTTTATACCGGGGCCACCTTTTGTCTCATCATTGTAAGTACTCTTACTTTTCCTCAATGTTTTTCTTACTTATAACTAAATAACTCTCCGGTTTTGATTCATTGTGTTTCGGTTTGGTGAAGTTGGATCTTGCTTCGCACGGTCGTGGAAGCGTAGTAGCATATGTTGTGTTATGTTTGATCGTTGCTCTTTTCGGGGTTGCTGATGCTTTTATACAAGGTGGAATGGTTGGAGATTTGTCTTTCATGTGCCCCGAATTCATTCAGGTTAAATTGTTATCTTTTAGTCTTTTAGTGATGATTTTTCCGGCGTTAAAAATCGATTTAGCTTAATGTTTGATTTGTCTAGGCATTCATGGGCGGTTTAGGCATAGCTGGAGCTCTAACTTCCGGCTTAAGGCTTATTACGAAAGCAATCTTCGACAAGTCTCCCGATGGCCTCCGAAAAGGCGCTTGTAATGTCTCTCCTGCATATATATCTTTAGTATTTTTGTTACATATTATACAGATTAAGCTAAATCTTTTAATTTCTGGCAGTGTTGTTCATAGGAATATCGACATTGATTCAGTTAGCATGTCTCATTCTATATGTGTTTGTCTTCGGTAAGCTCCCTATCGTGAAATACTACCGTTCCAAGGCTGGGAAAGAAGGGGCCAAATCCGTTACCGCGGATCTAGCCGCAGCTGGCCTCCAAGAACAGGCTGAACAGGTCTCTCAGCTTAAAAATATTAAAATTTTATTCGATACAATGTTTATCATTCAGCTTATCAACCTCTCTGCTTAATTTTGATGCTGCAAAAAGATTCAACAAATGGACGAGTCCAAGATCCAAAAACTGACCAAGAAGCAGTTGCTACGGCAAAACATAGATCATGGGATCAATCTCTTCATGATTTACGTCGTTACGCTATCGATTTTCCCAGGATTTCTCTATGAGGACACTGGAGAACATCGGTTGGGCGATTGGTATGTAACATTAACATGAAAACCATTCAATTCAATCAATCTCATCAAGCTTTATATAATAAGGTGGGTTATATAATAACCATTAATGTTTTGATGTGTTAAAAGGTATGCACCGGTCCTAATAGCCATGTACAACGTGTGGGATTCGATCTCGAGGTTCATTCCCTCGATTAAACGATTGGCAATGGAATCTAGGAAATGGATCACGATCTGTGTTGTTGCGCGTTTCTTGCTCATTCCCGCTTTTTACTGTACCGCTAAGTACGCAGATCAAGGATGGATGATTTTCCTCACTTCTTTCTTGGGATTGACTAATGGTTATCTAACCGTTTGTATCTTCAGCACTGCACCAAAGGGTTACAATGTAAGTTACTTCTCTCTTTTACATAGCCATTCTCGATTCGATTTGGTTTTTAATACCGGTTATGTTAACTTGATACAATCAAATTTGAAATCATTTTGATAGGGACCCGAGTCGAATGCATTGGGGAATTTGTTGTGCGTGTTTCTATTGGCAGGGATCTTCGCTGGAGTTTGCCTCGGTTGGCTTTGGCTCATTGGCCATGATTCCTTTTAGACAAAAACTATAAAGAATGCATTTATTTTACTTACATTACGAGTAGTGGTTTCCTATTAAAAAAAATGTAATGATTCACGCTTTTGTTTTACTTGGCATTACCAGTTTAGTGGTTGGAATGAGTTTCAATTTCCTTTGGTTTTTTAGATTAATGATTTACGAACACAATATATCATACAAAAACGGACATGTAATTTAGTGGTTTGTAATGCTACTAGTGTAGTTACAGAGTAATGAACCAGTTTCAAATCCGATAGTATGCATAATTTTTCGAAGTTCAATCGAAAACCTACATATACTGTACAAGTTTTTTTTGGTCAACAAGGTCTCTGTAGTTAGAG